CAAACCTGCAAGATGGATACATGAAAAACTTCTCTGCCCTGTCTTCCCCAAAGGTTCAAACTACGGAGGCCACCTCAACTATTAGCAACGATTAGAGTCCAGATTCCACCACCAACCAACCATTCAGGTCCCCTAGTCCACTCCTCAGCACGTCTCCCAGGTTTGCCAGATGCCATATCCTGTGATGTCCACATGAATAAACTTTCAGGATACTAGTCCAGGCTGGTTTAATTCATACTAACACATGTACAACCAAAGAGAGGGGAAGGCAGAATGAGGTGCTTTGACCTCTCAACCAAAACCCCTTCAAGTCACCTGCATTCCCTTACATTATCCTGGGCTGTGGACCCTGACAGATGGCCCACAGTGAGCCCTTGCTGCTGGCAGCACAGGAGACAGTCTGCTCACAGGGATGCCCTCTGCTCAGGCTCTGCTCAGTCTCTGCATTAATCCTTGTGCCCAGCCACCTGAGTTAGTGCTGCAGCATCTCAACCCCTGGTGCATTCCCAGAGCCTCTCTCTGCTCTCTGTAATTTTCCATTCCTATGACCCTGCATTCCCAAGCCATCACTGCATCCATGAGCTCTCCCCTTGATGTAGCCACATTTCAGTACCCCCATCACTGCTCTTAAAACTGCCCATATTCCCACCTTGGATCAATACCAATTTCTACCACTTACTTGCCTACCTTTCAGCAAGCCCTTCTTTATTCTGCATAGAAATAAAACTGTAACTGTACCTTGCCAGAAGAATTACTTTTTAAAACCTGCCCCCCTTCGCTTCTTCCCTCTATTTTTCTTCCCCTTCTTCTTCAGGAGCAATTTTATGCAATTTGCAACTGTCTGGCTGTAAATGAAAAGAGACACAAAGCATTTCTGTGAAGTATTGAAAAGCTGGCTGCTTTTCCCTCGAATTTCACTTAGCAAGAGGCTTTAACTTGGTGTGTGATCACTGCGTGTCATTAATAACCTCCCCAGTTCCTTTCAGAACTCAGCAAAGTGAAGGCACAATCACGAATCAAAGGCATGGATTACTGAGATATAATATCATTTTACCAAGCAAGGGAAGAGTGTGCCAGGGAGTGCGGAGGAAGTGAAACACTGCACTGCTAGGCTGGCTGGCATATGAAGATGACACTAGATTTAGGAAGAAACCTAAGGGCTTGATTCCCTCTCTGCTCTTCAGATCCAAAGATTTTGCCTCTCTTCAGCATCCATGTGTTCTGTGCCTTTCCCCAAGCCCTGTGGACTCAGGCCACAAAGAGAGCTAGTTTCTGTTTTGCTCCTCAGGCAGATCTGTCTCCAGCTCTGTTGAGTCTTTGGAGCCCATCAAACTGCTTTACTAGGACTGAGTCAGACTTATTAGTGCAGTTCCCCAGCCTGTCCTCAGAGAGCAAAACTAGGGAATACAAAACAGAATCTTTGTACGCACTGGGTGCAGAAAATACTGTGAAGGGCAGGGAGCAGGAAGAAGGTGCTGGGTGGATAACTAGCGACAATATGTCTATATGCTACACAGCATCAGTCACTGTGAGCAAGGTGTAATGTGCTTCCCATTTGTAAGGTGTACCAGCCAGGGTGATGAGGAAACTTGTCTTGCTGCATGCCAGCCTTTTGGCTGCACTGAGGATCACAGGTTGCCATCCACAAATGAGGGCCTATAATGTGTGAAAACACCCTCCCTGGTCACAGGGCAAAGTACTCTTTCTGCTTACCCCAGCTGACAGCAAAGGCACAGATCCTCAGCATGCTTTTAAGTTTCTCAGCAAGCCTAGGTGATCACACTTCTGCTAATTCACCCATGATGCACTTCTCTGTTCTAGGAAGCTCCATCCTTTCTTACTTAAAGGAAGCTTCAAGCATTTGTTACTTCCAGACTACACTGATAGCAATTCAGCAATTGAAGGCAACACAAGTGTTTTAGATAATACAGTATACAGCTGACAGTCTTCTTGCTTTACACCCTGAGCGCACCATCCCTTACAAGCAGGGGCAAAAGTCCAAAATCTGTCTACCTATCAAAAAATAAGCTTTTTTGAGTTTAAATTCTATTTAGCTACCATACATCCAACAGCCCTCAATTTAAAAATAAACATCTTGTCTCAAACGAAGAACTTGCCAGAAATGCCATAAAAGCAAATAGAGACCATCATGATTCTTATTGACTCATATGGAAAACATAAAATATAAATAAAATAAATATAAAACTTCAGGAAAGCTATGCTGCCCTACAGGAACAACGTGGCAGCATTCTTAGATGGGCTGACAGACTTGGAGGGCCCAAGAAATATCTTATGGGCACAGGCCTACCCAGTGACAGACTTGGGAGAGAACCCAGGAGACCTGCTCCAGCTGCCTGATCACAGCCTAAGAATCTACCAGAAACCATATCAAAGCACTTCCACAAGTCTGTCCTTACCAAATCCTCAGTCTAGACTAAGAAAGCCATTTGTCTCTATTCAGGTTCACAAACTGTTGAGATCAAGCTACAAAGGGAGGTGCTTGGGTACTTGTGGCATTTATAGTTCTTTGCTATACAATGGTGAGTGAAGGATTACCAAGATCCTTCCTATGTCAGTTTGATCCCTTGCTGTCTATGAACAGGCTGATGCTTGGTCATGCATTCAGGTGACAGTCTGTATCACGCTACACAGAAACTTTCTTCCTGCTACCGCTATGTGCAATAAAGTGATAGTAAATGGGTAAAACAAACAAGAAATTGCATGGTTACCAGATTATGGCCCACTTACTGAAATAATCCCAGAGGTGTGGTCCAGGTAATTATGTTCTTTGTCCTATGCTAGGGTCTTCACTATAGTTATGGTGAGAGGTTTTGCCACAGAGTTTATCAGAAGATCTAGATATGCATGCATAGAGACAAATTTCATGGCTTTGATCCCAACACAGGAAAACAACCGATTACCTAGCACTCCTGCCTGTGACTCATTTCCAGCATATTCTCTGTGATCACTTGGCTCAGAGGGAGGGGTGGTACTATACAGACACAAGCAAACCAGGCTAAAAAAACAGGGCTGAAAAGTACCTCATGTCACCCAGTCCATGTCCATATCAAGACCAACTCATCAACTCTATGAACATCAGGAGAGAGGTATGTTCCATTCTGGTAGCAACCACTTCTAATTACAACTAAAATAACCAATGAGAGAATCCTGCCTTCTTGGTCTTTGAGGGACTTACCAAAAGAGAAACTAAATGTGTCAGAATGGTGTATTGCAAGCCTGAAAACAGAAAGCTCCAAATGCAGCACAGCTCATCTTCATCTTAAGTTTGAAGCTTAATTACACCATCTTGCTCATTAACTGTCTCCAGAAAAACATGTTTGAAAGCACTCAGCTAGTACAGACGTCTTACTGTTCCCAAGCAGTTTCTTACACTCCAACATAAAAAGCCTTTAGATCACCACATCACAGATAAATTTCTGCTTTATGTACTACTCCATGCAGAAGTCTATAGTCACTGAGAGCACAAACAGTAGAGAACTTAGCAAAACATGCAACTAAGATCGCCTTGAATCCACCAAGCTTCATATGAATAACCTTTCAGAGTCCTTCTATAGGTACTAGGTAGAGACATGTCTGTCTTCTCCACTGTGTTACAGATCTGTACCATGACTCATCACAACTGCTCCTCCCTCCTTTAAATTGTTCTTATAGACCGTCAACTTAGCCCTAGACCAACACACACAGAAGACTATATTGCTTTAGCCTGAAAGGTTGACCTTTTTCACCCTCACACAAACTTAACTCAAACTGTATTCGAGCAGCTGGTTATCTGCACTCTTCACCCTTGCTATACAGTAAAGATTCTATTAAGTGGTAATTAAATTATGTGCTTTTTACAGCCCTCAAATGCCAAGACAGGTCCATGAGAAAAAGGGAGCACAGGTAAACAAACACAGGAAAGGATGTGTGTGGAGGTCTTGAAGGGAGCTGGAAGAGGTAAGGGAAGCTGTTTGGACCTCTATGGGTTAAAGAGGAAATATTATGGTTAAGAATTCCTAACCCGTCTCCAGGGACTGTTGGTTTACATTAATTATTCTGTTGCCACTTATAGACAGAAAATCACAGGAGGCCCTAAGTACCCAATTCCTCCACCTACTCACCTCCAAAAGAATCCTTCCAACACTCCTGATCAACCCCTTCAGCCACAGCAAGGAAACTGCCCAGTCGAAGCTCTCAAATCATACCAAAATGGCAACAGTTGAGAACTCCTTTTAGCTCACCATGTGGTCCCAGGGAGGGAGAGGACCTCCCTGCAAGGACAGACCTGTTGTGATGCCTGGTCTGCTTTGATCTCTAAAGCACTTTTCTTTCAGCACCAACTGTGGAGCAAGCAGGACCCAGCAATAGACCACAGCTTGTTCAGCAGTCTTGGTCTCACCTATATAACCTGTTTCTCTTCCAAACAATGGGATGTGGCAAGTGTATCTTTTTCTTCTGAGAAGCTCATTCAACTCAGTCACTGCACTAAAAATCATGTTGGGGTCCTGCACAAAGCCACCCAACAAATTGTCCAGGAACCCTGCAGCACAATAGTAGACTAGAAGAGGATGCACCAGGAAGTTCTGCACACCTGGAGGATAAGGGTCTAGTACCTTGTCCTGTGTCCTGTCAGCTTTCTAGTATGCTACTGTGCAGGCTGGGCCCATGCACTTCACCCCAAAGTTCACAGCTCCTTAGTGACAGGGAGAGATAGCTGAAGATGTTTCATCACAGCGGAGAGACTAAAGTGCAGTGCAGAAATAGGTTTGGCTGGAGTTACATGGGGCATGCTTGGCAAGGTGGAGAAAAGAGCAGCAGCTCTACGAAGAGAAGTGCTGTGCTTTTGGCTCCCACATCCCTGTTCTAACCCCCAAAACACACTTCTCTTTCATAAGCAGGAAAATTAATCTAAGCTATTTCTCACCCACACTCCCACTGCTGACCATTCCCCATTCGCCTGCTCATGGCGCAAGCTCCAGGCACAGATCACTGGGACTTACCCCTGGCAAAGTCTTCTGTTCATGCAGTGCTGTCTGGGCTTTGATGGCAGAGTCTCTGGCACAGTAGGTGAGGAATGCACAACCTGGAGTGGATACAGCAAGGGTCCAGTTAGACATGCAATTGCAGAGGCTCATTGACACAACGTTCCTCTTTGGTAATAGCAGATAACCCAAACACAAGAATTACAGATGCTGCCCTGTTCCAGCAGGTGTCCCATTGTTTCTGCTCAGGTACAGAGGAAGTGCCTAAGACGGACCCTGTGCAGGATCTGACTTTTTTTAAGTGCGAGGTTTGCACAAGACAAAGAAACAACAAAGGACATTCAGGCCCCATCCAAGGTCTACTGAACTCATGGAAAAGGGTTCCAGTGAATCAACCAGGTTTGAAACAGGTGTTGAAAAAGATGAGAAACAGCAGGAGAGCAAAATGCATGCCAACTTAGCCTGTGGGAGAAACCGCCCAGAAGACAAGGATCAGAGATAGGAGATAACAATAGGAGATAGGCTGGGTGGGAAGGAAAAGAGAAAAAATCATCTGGGATTTTAGGCTCATATGAAGGCCCCATGATCTAGATTCACAGAATCATGGAAAGCTATGGGAGGAGAGGCCTGGCTTTCTGTGTCATACATACACCCATACGACATGTACAAAAGCACATAAATGTACATTTGCATGACAAGGGGAATACAGAGAACAGCAATGCATAATGCATTCTGCAAGGGACAACTTGAGAAGCAAGATGAAAAGCACATGGATAAGACCAGATCTTGACATTCTTAGTCAAGATTTGCCATAACACCTAAGCCTAACACTGGAGCCAAGGGAGAAGGGAAGAAACTTTAGCCCCTTAAGGAAGAAGAGGGATCATCTTTGGGTGTTCTGGTGCTAAGAATAATCAAATGAAACTAAGAAAAGGAAAAAAACTGGCTGGTTATCAAGAAACATTTCCTAGCACAGAGAGATTTATTAGACTGTGGAATGATCTCCCCAGGGAAGTGCCTGGAGCTCTGTCATTTGAGTTGTTTCAGATGAGAATGGGCAAAGGACTAGAGAATAGACTCAAATGCTAGAATGCATCTAACCCCCTCACTGTAACTCCTATTCACATTGGCATTTCATATCCTAAGAAAAGGCAGGATGTGTTCCTTCAGCTTGTTGCTAAATGTCCATGTCCACACTGTTGTGCTGGGGCTGCAGATGCATTGTTATGGCACAAACAAAAAGGCCTCTTTCTTTGAACCCACCTTCTTATGCCTGGCTTGGGGTACTCCAAAGCCTCTTCACCTCTTTGTGAATCCAAACATGGATGCAGGACAGGGGCTGCTTGGATCTTTCCCCTCCACCCCAGAGTGACTCCATGGCACACAACTTTTATGGGCTCAGGACAATCCCAACCAAAGGCAATGAGATTTTGCCATTCTTCCATTCCAACTCAAATAAGCTGCTACAGCTACGCAAATCACATCTGTGCTCACAGCCCCTGCTAGGGAAAAAAAAACCCTCCACAAACATCACACTTCCACATTTCCTGCTTAAGTTAACAGCAAACTCAGGTCACTAGGCTTATGCCTCTTTGGACACTCTTAACACTAAGTCAGTTATGCCTGCTGAGACATGGGACATGGTGTTAAAGTGCCAACCTTGAAGGTCCCAGTCACCTGGCCAGCCAGGAGCTGTTAATGATCCAGTCACAGAACAGGAAACCACAACAGCACACAGAGCACTGTCTACAAAATCAAGCCATTGCAAATCCTAAATGGGGGAACTTGAACCAGAGATGCTGTGGTGGGACAGCAAGAGCCAGGACCCCCAGTGGCCAGATATACCTTCACTAGCATCTGCTTCCTCCAAGTACAGAGTGACTTGTCTTCTTTTGAGTCTAGATTCTGATTGTTATATTGATACAGTAAACCATGTATCAAAATCTGACCTGATCTGCAGGGGGTCCAGCTGATCAGAAATCAGAAGTTACATTATACTATAAATTCTGTATTATGGTACTTGTAGATTGTACTATAGTGATTCTGCCTGTAGAAATCCCTTGCCATTCTAATAATAAATTCTGTGCTATACGAACCATAAAACTCTGTTAAGAAAATGAATCTTTCAGTGTAAGTAACACTTAGTGCTATCATCATTCTGCCAAGGATCCCTAAAAGAACCTGTATGTCCCCTTAGTGTTGGATGATACCACCCTACTCCCACCAGCTCCAGGAGGGTTTCCAGCTCCTTGTAAGCAGAATTCAGCCTAGTTCCACTCAGAAGAGACTGCAGCATTAAATATATATATATACACACATATACATATATATATACACACATATACATATATATATTCTGTGCCTGATCCTCCCTACAAACCACTCATTTACTCTGGGATTTACAGTCCCTTCAGATCCTAAACACGACTCCAGATATCAGCAGTCTAAAGCCTCGAGCAAGAAAAGGCTGTCAGTTTGCAGAAGAGAAGGGTCTCTTGATTCAGCTTAGCATTAGAAATCACATACAGTATTTCAGCAGGGGAAGCATGGAGTCAGTGGGGAGCTTATCTGCAAACCTGCAGAAGCTGAGTCAAAGCTCAGCTGTCAGTAAGGCAAGTTAGGCTGAAGCTGTTATTGCTCCCTTGCCCTTTGGAAAAGCCACCCAGCTGTCCACACACCACTACAGAAGCCCTGCAAGAGGTCTCCTCCTGTCCCTGCCATTCCCCTGCATTTTAGTGTTGTATCTCACACTGCAGAATCTCTCCATATTCCTACCAGGGGCACTGCTAGGAAACCCAGTCAGGAGAGCAAAGTTGACACTCCTGGAGGAACTGCCTTCTGCCCGATCCTGGAACCCAAGGCCAAAAATTTCCACTAGATTCTCCCTGCTCAGTCTCCTCTGACCCATTCCAAGACTGTTCAAATCCCTCCCTACTCTTACCATTAAAGCTCTAAGACACACTCCTGTTAACATGCAAATGTATCTGTGATTAACATAAATAGAAAAACTACCTCATTAGTAATATTAGGAGGCTGGAATAAGCAGTATAAGCTACCAGTAGTCAGGCTGCTGAGACATGAATAGTCAGGCACCAACAAAACCACTTTGTAACAGTGTTCATGTTTCTAGCAGGCCTGTAAGATCCTCCTCTGTCTCCAGTGAATTCATTACTGCTCAGCACCTGTACAAGACAGCCGTAGCTAACTCTTGGGGTCTCAGACTCTGCAGTTCAATTCACACCTTCCTGCCCCTGCCAAGCCTTTTCCAGCCTTCCTTCCTCTCTGGGGACAGAGGCAGCTGCTCAGCTCCATGTCAAGAGGCAAGAGATTGCAAGAGGAGCTTCTGGACTTTATCAATAGTGCCGGCTTCTCACACAACTGCTTCTCCCCATTATGGGAAAGAAAAGGAAAAGCAGATGGAAGCTGCATGTGAGCTGTCAACTGGATCTCACCACAGATCAGGCAACTTGGGGAGAGAAAACTGAATCTGCTGTTAAAACTGCCCCAAAAAGATTATGGGTTCTGTATGATGCAGGAATGAGTGCATAGTTACACAGATGTGCCAGGGGCTGAAAAGCCCTGGCCAGCTCCTGTGACAGTTGTTCAGGTCACTGCAGCTTCTGGGTCATGTCTAGCACCCTCCAGGCCTACTGATGTTAACAGGAGCGGCGGCTCCTCACCAGCTTGCCCTTCTTGCATGGTGCCTAAGCCAATGCAGCCAGACCTGATAAGATGGGAAGAAAAGGCTGGGGTCAGGGTTGGCTGGACTGTGGGTCTAATTTCCTTGCTGCATGCTAACTGCCCCTCCCCCCATCCTTGTGGAGGAACTACTTATTGAAAAAGTATATTACCTACTCCCAAACCAGGTTGGGGGCCTACAGGTAAACCCATGCTATCAGGAAATTAATACCAGCCTTTCACTTTGTACAAAACAGGAGGGGGACAAGGGTCAGAGGAAACTGAAGGTGCATGGAAATAACTGTACAATAGCCACCAGAAGTACCTACAAATCTCAGTGGTCTTTTCTGGACAGAACAGAGCACGAACAACCCTTGACCAACACCTGCAGCCACCCTAAAATGTCAAAAACAAAGGGTATATTTATTTTGCTGCATAAATCATGCGTTTAGCAGCAAGTTAATGTCACACAGATCTGGCTGCCAGTGCTGCCCCCCCCTAATTCCCATACCTAAGTGGCAGATCCCTAGAATCTGTCTCTTGCCTGGAACCTGACCTCAGACCACACAGTCTATATTTAATAGGTCAACTGAAATGAAATGTGTGACTTTGTCTTGTCTTGGGCCCATTCTCTTCCTCATTGGGTTTGAAACTTGGTAACTCACTGTCAGATGTTAGCAGATTTGGGCTGGCTCAGTCCCTTGCACACAGAGACTCACAAGTACTTGGCATTTTGGTTCTGAAGTCTCAACCAAATATACCTCCTCAGCTAAATTCAAGTCAGCCCAGCTCCCACAGTGAGGAAGTGTCTTCCTTTTGCATTGGGATTAGATTTGGCCTTTTGTTTGAAAATAAGTTTATTTTTCTGTTGTCCTCTTCCCTCTTTGTTCCGTCTAGAAGGATACAAGTTGCCACAGCACTCACAGTGTTTCTCACTTTTCCTCCTAAATCTGAAACCTGAGGCAACAGGACTGAATGCGACTCACATTCCCTCCACTGCACACCAACACATGGACCGTTTTAGAGCAGAGAGACCCAGGCTGAGCACTGACAGCTTCCAAGGTACTTACTGTCGGTTCTCTGCAGGCTTGCTCTACATGTGTGAGGGAGTGGTGCTGCGATCACCCTCACAGAAAACGGGCTTCGTGAACTCCCAGTCGCAGCTATGGTGATCACAAGGTCCCAGACACCTGCTGGGAGTGGGCTGGAACCGCTCCACAGAAGGGAGCCGACATTCTGAACGCGACAGCTTTTCGAAATACAGCTTTCAAATACAACAGTAAGCGCAGCTAAACAAGCCTTCTCGAACTTTTTAGCATCCACTAAATGTCTTTCAGCAGAGACCTCTCACCTCTCTCAGTCTATCGTCAAGAAGGCCCCTCACCTATCCCAAACGCCACTGACAACAGCAGATT